TTTTCTTTTCTTGATTCATGCAACTGATAATTATTCACTTCATTAAGAAATACAGGACAGAGAAATGAATGTCAATTACCAAAAATTTCCTTCTGTGGTAGAAATGATTATTCCACTTCGACTTATTTGGGCTAAAAGATGCACCGTTATGTTTACCTTTTCTCTTTATCGCCTTAAAATTCTTATTCCATCGCAGAATCTCACTTATGCTGTTGTAATTGCACAGAGATTTTTTCTGTCTGATATATTTGGTGATATTATCAACTATGTTTTGTTTTATTTGCTTCCATGGGAGATTAATAAGTTTTTGCAATCGATATAACGGATGGTTTCTTTTATGATGTATGTGAAAAATTCATTGATTATTAGAATTTATGAGTTGACGTTCATGACTAGTGACCAGCAATATAAGATTAGGATGTCATCATCTAGATTTAAATCGAAACTTAATGATTACGGAAATGGGGCAAAAGAAAAGAGGATCAGGTAGGATGTCGCTGTTTGCTGGAAAACACTAAAGAAGGTAAGTTCGGCTAGAAAATCTCTCAATTTACTGCAGGTCTTTGATTTTGTGGAAGCTTTAATTGGATTAGTTGTGAGTGACTGTTAAAAGTTACTGCCGTACTTTATGTATGTTTTACAAGCTAAGTTTGGATCGAAGTTTGTCATTGGATGGAGCAAAATGTAATTTAATAGAAGGATTAATTACATGGGTTATCGTGTCTGGGAGGATTAATGTATTTGGAAATGAGTGACGATTGACTGATTCCGGTGTTATTCTTTTCCTTCTTTCCAGCACTTTTTGATGGTTAATGTGTCGCTGTGACATCCGTAACTCAATTTCTCGAGCTTCCGTTTCATGATGACCAATTTTCCCTGTCCACTTATAGCTTTGGCTTATTGAATTGCTCATTTAAATCGAAATTCCATCTGGCCACTTTTCGTTACATTTAGACCAAGATAAATCATATCTGTAGTTTTTGTTCGATAGGGAAATTCATCGAAAGCATTACGTGTTGCTAGAATGGCAAAAAATGGAAATACTTCCCTTTGATTTAAAAATTTTTTCCATTATAGCTTACCAGACTGATTTGAAAAATGAGCCAAATCCTAGGAAATTTGCCGATCTCTTGTTTACAGCATTAACGAATGATAAGGGTTTTTTATAAAATTCTTTGCAATTTGAAATGGGTCAACCAGATACAATATTCTTGGCAACATTCCTCATAAATTATTTTCCCAAATAATACAGCATTGATGAAACAATGAGAAAAAAAAATGCAAGTAATCTGTGCTGTAAAATCGAAATTCGTCACGGTTTTCCATATTTAAAGTTTATTAATGCTTTTAAACCAGCAGGCTAAAAATAATAGGCTTTTTCAATCATTAAACTTTGTCGAGGAGGAGAAGTTGATGTCTGGTCAAATGACTCTCCATCGAATTTAACTCCATTTTAATTTCCCTCCTAAGCTCTTTCTTTGATTTTATTTCTTCCTCTCGTTGGGATTTATGTTTATTTCATCTTTCAAGTTGAAATGCGGTAGGAAGGGAAGGGTGAGGGGCAAAAAATAGTGACCACAAAAAAAAGGAAAAACAAGAAGTAATAAAAAGAAGAGTAAATAAATGAAAGTGAAATGTGTCCCAAAAGGACTGAATGCAGCTTAGAGTTAATACTTACTTATTTTCCCCTCAGTCTAGCCTACTTTAGCTTATCCATCCAAAAAAATCAAACTAAAATGATTTTCTTTTAGAATGTAATGATGGATCGATCAATCGCCTCGCACTTTTTTTCTAAGCAAATTTCGAAAACTAACGTGAAATTTTTTACTAACGTGAAATGTAACTTTTTTTGTTAAATCTGCATAATAACCCGAAAAGTGCCTGCAGGAAGAATAAATCTCCAAGTACAGTACACGTTCTCCATCGTTCATCCCGCAAGTTTACATGCTCCTCGTCCTCTTACTGTATTTGTATTATCTGTATTTGTTCATGTTGGGTTTTGTTGTCAGTAACCAATATTAACTAATCATATCTCATGTACCATTTGTCTCATTAATTGTTAACGTGAAGCATTCCCGCAAATTGAAAGTGTCTAGCCTGACTTTAATGAGTTCCAGAATTACATTGGATCGTACAAGGAAATCAACAGCAGTGTCGGTGACGGATCAAGTGAGAACGTTTTCTAGAAATTCATGAGAAGCTCACAAGCATTGAATCGACTATTTTCATTCGTTCTAACTATGAAAATTAAAATTGAAATTCAAATTTCAGAAGAAAACAGTTTTCAAAAAAAGGAACTAAACATTTCATTCATTTTTAGAGTTTCTATATTTCCATAAAAGTTCCTATTCCACCTTTCACTTCTTACACGACTTTCACCTTTAGAGTATATAGAAAATTAAGAGATATTATAACGAGACGTTGATAATCTAAAAAACATTTGAAGGCCAGTGAGCTTATGTTAAGAAATTGACGATCGCTTATAGTTACGTCACTACAAGGCAATCCCCTACAGTGAATAGTAGGTGTAACAGATAATACTATTTCAGATATTAATTTGATTACCAATGCGGTAGCTCAATTCTTAGCAGCTCAGTTCGCTCGATACTTACAGCAGGAGAAACATAGCTGGTTGAAGGGGACCAATTGATTTAAAAAACATAACAATTTGGTTCGACTACAACCAGGTATGCAAATGTCCGCCTGTAGCACACTCTGTCAAAAATCGATACCTCACAGCTTTTCACTGCTTCTTCAGAAACGTAAGCCCTTAATGAGGGCGAAATTGCTGTAAAGAAATACAATAAGGAAGTAGTTTGGGAAATTTGCCATTAAATACGCCTAATAAATGTGTCATTAGAAAGTAAGTTTGCATGAACAGAAACTGAGACATGAGCAGAAAAGCTTTGGTATTTATAAAGTAGCCAAGGTTCAAATAAAACATTGAAATAATTACTGGAAGTGTTGGGATGGTAGAAGATGAGCTAATCCAGTGAAAATGTTGCGTAATACGTAATAAGTAAAAGATTACGTGATTGGTATGACGTAGATGGTTGGTACCATTTAATGAAAATAAAATGATCAGGTTAGGCAATAAGCATTGCAGTACGATGAATCAATTCACGATGTATCTATTGCCCATTCTCCTATTATTGAAACAATGCTATGTTACCTTGCCATTTCACATTTCTAGGCAGGAATTTTTTTCTGGTCACCAATTTGAGAGATATTTCGACAAATCTGTTCTCTCATTCTTATGTTATCACTAAATCATTCGAACTTCCAGTGCATTGTTTCCAATGTAATTGAAATGCGATCGCAGCAATGCAGTGCTTTTCTTTTTCCCCTACACCCATCATTCCTGATTTCTAGCCTCAGCTACCGCTCAGTTGTCCACCAGTTGTAGACGGATTCATGAGCACATAGACAAACAACAAGGACAACAAGCATGATTTCACTGCAAAGATGTCACTGCATGATGTAATCTCAATTGACGTGTAGTAGCAAAATAATGAAAACAAATTATGTTAAGGAAGATGAGCTAAGTGGTACAATCGTACTGATATGATAACCACGCATTTAACGGTTTTGATAAGTTTTGATCCTTTACTAAATGAACATTTTGCAAGATGAATACGGTCACTCGAAAACATTAGAACAAAAGACATGATATCGATTGAAATGAAAATATGTACAAAACAGTTACATTTCACAATTCATCAAACAATAAAGAACTCTTAATCACTGTAAACAATAAAGAACTCTTAATCACTTAATTATCAATCCTCAGCTAGAGTATCTTTCTTTTCTCTTCACTCATATCACAGATTTCATCTGATATCTACAGTTATTTTAGAATTGCAGTCTTTCTTCAAGCTGGTACTTCCAAAGTGATAAGATTGTAAAATTTGTAAAAATATAAAACTTATTTCTGATAAAAGTGGACATCATTATTCAAAAGTCGTTAAAAGTGATAGTCGCATCGCAGCTTTAAGATGTCGCAACGCCACTTTTCAACTCATTCTTACGATTTCAAATTCTTCACTGGAAGATCGCAGCAAAATATATTCGCAACTTTCCCGTCAAGATAAGGAAAAGCGAAACAGAATGATCATTGCATTCGTCATATAGTGAAAAGTTAAGGTGAAGTTAACTGTGCCCAATTACCAAACAGTCTTGCTGATCGGTTAGTGATCTCATTTGCTTAGCGCAGAATTACAAGAACTAACAACACGATAGACTAACATCGTAGTGATAGCAAGGATTAACACTCATCCACATCTTTCTCCGCCAGCAAAAAAAAAAAAAAAAAAAACTGGAAGGAACAGAAAACGAGGAAGTGCTATAGTTTCTAGACATATAATGGAATGCACTTGACAAATGACAGAAAATGTTATATTTGTGGTATCATTCTAAAAAGTAATATTTTATCTAAAAGCAGCAATCTCCTTAGGGGAAGTTGAGACAGAAAGGAAAAACAAAGCTAAATGTGTACAGCATAAGAAGTAGAACTAAATTTTTAGAGGCGATGACAATTTAAATGCTTAAAATAAGTCGATAGTTTATCAATTTAATCAGTGTGGAACATTATAATCTTAT